TCTACAAAGTGAGCTCTAGGTCAGCTGGGGCTACAGGGAGACCTTGTCTCCAAAAGACCAAAATAAAGATAAAATAAATACAAATCCCAGTCCCCAGCAATAATTATTTGAAAAATAATAGTAATAAAAGATAGAGACCCTCTCTAAAAAAAAAAAAAAAGAGACAATGAAAGAGCCAGTGTGTGTTAAAACACACCAGTAATTCTAGTACTTGGGAGGCAGAAGTGGGAAGATCAGGAGTTTGGGGGCATCCTCAGGTATATAGCAAGTTCAGGGCCAACTTGATTCCCTACCTCCCTTCCCCACAAAAGAAAAGGCAGCTTCAGTTAAGAACACATACTGCTCTTGCAGAAGACCTGAGTTAGGCTTCCAGCACCCACACTGGGGTGCTTGAAAACACCTGTAACTCTAGCTGCAAGGGACCCCAAACCCACTTCTTCTAGCCTCTGTGGGTGTCACATGCATGTCCTCACTCACAAACACACACATACATACATTTTTTTTTCTTTTTTTGAGACAGGGTCTCCCTGTAGCCCCAGCTGGCCTGGAACACTGCCTTGATCTCACAGAGATCCACCTGCCTCTGCCTCCCAAGTACTTGGATTAAAGGCCTGTGCCACCAGGCCCAGCTAGGGTTAGAGGCAGAGGCAGTCAAACCTGACTTTTTATGTGGGTGCTAGGAAGTCAAACTCAGGTTCTCATGCTTGCAGAGTGAGCTCTCTTTCCACTGAGCCATGTCCCCAACCCATAATAATAAAAAAAAAATCTAGCTATGCGTGGTGGGCACGCCTTTAATCCTAGCACTCGGGAGGCAGAGGCAGGTGCATCGCTGTGAGTTCAAGGCCAGCCTGGTTTACATAGTGAGTTCCAGGACAGCTGGGGCTACAGGGAGACCCTGTCTCAAAAACACTAAAAAAAAAAATCTTAAATACAAAGAAAAAGAGCCAAGGATGGTGGCCTAGCCTGAAGTTCTAGTAATCAGGATGCTATGACAGAGGATTATAAATTTGAGGCCACACTGAAATACAGAGTGAGTTCAAGCCCAGCCTATACAGCATATCAAAACCCCTTTTCAAAAACAAAGGAAATAAACTTTAATTTTGTTTGTTTCATTTTCTTTATATATACATGTATATACTTTAATTTTTATTTATTTGCTTATTTATTTTGGTATTTATTTATTTTAATTTTATGTGTATGAGTGTATTACCTGCATGTGAGTGCACCATGTAGTACAATGCCGTGGAGGTCAGAAGAGGTCTTTGGATTCCCCTGGCTAAATAAGATGTTTTTTAAAGATAGAAAAAGATGGGGCTGGAGAGATGGCTCAGTGGTTAAGAGTGCTGACTGCTCTTGCAGAGGACCCGGGTTTGATTCCCAGCACCCGCATGGTGGCTGCAAACTGTCCTCCTTAACTCCTACACATAAAATAAAAATAATAATGCCAGGCATGCTGGTACACGCCTTTAATCCCAGCACTCGGGAGGCAGAGGCAGGTGGATCTCTGTGAGTTCAAGGCCAGCCTGGTCTACGTAGTGAGTTCCAGGACAGCTGGGACTATAGGGAGACCCTGTCTCAAAAAAAAAAAGAGCAAAAAATTAAATTAAATTAAATAAATAAAATATTTAAAAATTAAGAAAAAAAAGATAGAAAACGAAAGTGTCTTGTTATGTAGTCCCAAGTGACTTGAATTTTGAGATCTTCCTGCCTTAGCCTCCAGAGCTGGTCTCCGGACCTGTAGGGCTTAAGTGACCCTCCGTCATCAGCATCTGAGTATCTTGGGACTAAATGTCATGCCATAGACCTTAGCTAAGAGTTTTCATTTTATGTTTATTAATTATTATTTTGAGACAGGGTCTCATGGATCCCTGGCTGGCCTCAAGCTCCTTATATAGCCAGGGGTGACCTTGAACTTCTGATCCTCCCGAGTCTACTACCCCAATACTGGGATGACGGACATGTACAACCATGCCTGATTTATATGGTACTGGGGATTGAACTCAGTGCTTTTGTCCTCCTCCATATTTGACAGACTAGAAGAAAACCCTTAGACAAGTGTGGCCCCATGCCAGCACAGTGATGGCATGGGCTAGTTCAGGTGTAGGAGATAGCCAATTTGTCCTCTCAGGCCTGCCTTGGAGGCTCAGTGGCATGGATGGCTTGAGAGCTTTGTGTTCCCTTGCTGGAACTCCATATGGCAGCATTCTGGCAAAGTCTCAGCGGAGTCTACTGTGCCAGTGGTTGGAGGAAGGTTAAAGCAGTAAGGGAGAGGCTTTGAGTCCTGACTATACCAAGGCAAGTGTATGTCAGGAGCAGACACAAGCAAGCACAGACACACAGAACCAGGATGGCCTACCCTCCAAGGACTCTGCTGTGTGTGACATTGCTAAATTATCTACCAGCCCTCTTCCTTATTTTTATTGACATAAACTCATATAACATAAAATTAACTATTTAAAAATAGACAATTTGAGCCAGGCATGGTGGCACTCGCCTTTAATCCCAGTACTCGGGAGGCAGAGACAGGCGGATCTCTGTGAGTTCAAGGCCAGTCTGGTCTACATTTTGAGTTCCAGGACAGCTGGGGCTACAGGGAGACCCTGTCTCAAAAAAGAACAACAACAAAAAAAGATAAATACACAATTGGGTAGCATTTATTGTATTTACAATGCAGTTCCTCAAAATGTTAAACAGAATTCTTGTATGACCCGACAATTACACTCACAGATGTAGTCCCAAGATAAATGAAAACATATGTCCACAAAAATTTGTAAGCAGTTGCTATGGTAAGCTGGTTGTGGTGGCGCCTGCCTCTAATTCCAGCACTTTGGAGGTAGAAACAGGAGGATTACAAGTTCCAGGCTGGCCTGGGCTACATACCAACTTCTAAATTTAAGCCAGCCTGTATCACATAGTGACACCCTATTTCAAACAAAGCAAAACAAACATTCATGACAGCGTTATTCATAAGAACCAAAAAGTAAGAACAGAAATTTTTGGATGAGCCGATGGGCAAAATAGCAAAATCTGCAAAATCTACAATGGGATAATTCTTGGCTCTCCCTGTAGTCCTAATGCCTGGGCCTCTGCCATTCATATGTTGAGATCATAACAACAACAAAGACTTTTGAGCTGGATGTAGTAGTGAACACAGGACTCAGCACATAGCAGGAGGATCGGAAACTCAAGGTCATCCTCAGCTATACACTGAGTTCAGTGCTGGCTTATACTACATGAGACCCTGTCTAAAAAAGAAAGGAAGGATGGGAGGGAGGGAGGGAGGGAAAAGGAGAGAGGGTTGGCTGAAGAGGAGGAAGGAGGGATGGAGGGAGGGAGGGAGGGAGGTAGGGAGAGAGAGAGAAAACCAGCCAAAAGTCAGTCTTGGTAGCACATGCCTGCAATCCTAGAACTCAGGAGGCAGAGGCAGCAAGGTAGCAGGATCTCAAGTTCAAGGCTAGCCTGGTCTATATGGCAAATTCCAGAATAGCCAGGACTACATTGCAAGACTCTCCTAAAAAGGACCCCAAAGAACTAGAGATGTAGCTCAGTTGTCAGAGAGTGTGCCTGGCACACAGGAATCCCTGTTTTCCATCCCTAGCACTGAATAAACGGAGCGTGGCACCTGCAATTCCAGCACTTGGGACTTGGAAGAATGAGAAGTTCAAGGTCAGCCTCCACTATATTGCAAGTTCGAGGCCAACCTGGGTTACACAAGACCCTGTTTCAAAATTTTTTTAAAAATCCAAAGTCCAGCTGCACATGGTGGCACACATCTTTAGTCCCAGCACTCAGGAAGCGGAGGCAGGCGGATCTGTGAGTTCAAGGCCAGCCTCGTCTACACAGTGAGTTCCAGGCTAGCTGGGGCTACAGGAGACCCTGTCTCAAAAAGACCTCTCCCTGCAAAAAAATCCAAATTCCATGATGTTAATAGGAAAAGAGGACCTTAGGGGAGGTGACTAAATTATGAAGAACTCTCAGAAATGGAATTAGTAATCTTATAAAGAGACTACAGATGGCCAGCTAAGTCCAACTACCATATGAGGACACTGAAAAAGATGCTGCTTACCAAACAGGAAAGTCTCATCAGGCATCATGTTTGCTAGTGCCTTGATTGTTTTAAAATTATTTTTATTGGGGCTGGAGAAATGGTTCAGTGATTAAGAACACTGATTGTTCTTGCATAGGACCCAGGTTTGAATCCCAGCACCCACATGGCAGCTAACAACTGTCTGTAACTCCAATCCCAGGTGATCCGACAGCCTCTTCTGACCTCCGCAGGCATTGTACAACATGGGTGTACTTACGTAGGCAATACACGCGTTACACATAAAATAAATAAATAAATAATTTTTAAAAATCATTAAAAAAATTTTTTTAATTATTTTTATTTATTAGCCAGGTGTGGTGGCACACACCTTTAATCCCAGCACTCGGGAGACAGAAGCAGGAGATCTCTGTGAGTTCAAAGCCAGCCTGGAGCTACAGGAAGACCCTGTCTCAAAAAAAATTTTTTTCATTTATTTTATGTGTATGAGTGTATTGCCTACATGTATGTATATGTACCTGTGTCATGCAATGCCCAAGGAGTCAAATCCCCTGGAACTGTGAAAGACTGCGCCCCAATTACCCGGGAACAAAACCAACCACTGCTGGATGCAACAAGCATGAGGGGTTTATTGAAGTACACAGGTACCTGCGGGCGCACCAGGCTCAGAGCTGTGAGCGCGCCCGGGTGGGTCTGGGGTAGTACTTATATACCTAAGGCAGGAAGCAGGTTCTTACAGAAGCAGATGCATGGTAACAGACTTATGATTGGAGAGTCTAAGTCAGGCACTGGTGGGGCCAGCTGGTGGGGAGCTGGCGTGACCGACAGTTGGGTTCGGGGAATTTAGATCAGTATCTACTTCCGCTTGTTTTGGCCGTTCTGAGCACATCTGGGCTTCTGGGGTTTTTCCACTCAGGGTTAGAACATTTTTTCTCACGGCTGCCAGTTTTTCAAAGTTGAAGGGGCTACAGCTCGAGGGTCTTTCATTCCCCACTCTTTCTAGTGCCTGGGAAAAATCTTTTACCTTTCTTACGGGATTTCGGAGTCTGCAGTGTTCAGCATTTGGTATTGATTTTTGAGAACTAAGGTCTGCACAACAGATAGGCGGTCCCTCACAAACTGAAGTATTCTATTGAGGATACAGGGCCCAAGGGTCAGCAAGAGGAGGATGATAAAGAGGGGGCCTAGAAGGGTGGAGACTAGAGTAGTTAACCAAGGGCTATTATTAAACCATCGTTCAAACCAGGGTTGTGAGGCTTCTCGTTCTTTCTGCCTGGCGTCTAGCCTTTGGCGGAGCTTGGCCATGGAGTCTTTAACGACCCCAGAATTGTCTGCATAAAAGCAACATTCCTCGCCCAGTGCCACACACATTCCTCCTTCTTTTAAGAATAACAGATCTAACCCCCTTCTATTTTGAAGTACCACCTCAGCGAGGGAGCTAAGGGACTCTTGTAAATATGAGACAGATTGCTCAAGATCTCTAATATCTTCACTTATGGCTTTTTCTAGGTTAGCATATAACTGGGGCCCTTGTACTAAGGCTGCTGTCCCGGTCCCAACTCCTGCCGCGACTCCAGCCCCGAGGAGTAAGGCTAAGGTTAGGGACACAGGTTCTCGTTTAGCCCAGTGAGGTCGCTGTGTAAAGGACCTCTCCACCTCCCCAGCAGGATGGTAAAATATTCGGGGCAAAAGTTTAATCATTATGCAGAAGCCCCCAGTGCCATTAAGGACATCGGGGCTCAGACATGGAGTAAGTCCCCCATTACATGCCCACCAGGCTCCTGGTTGGGGTAGGAGATAACTACCTTGCTCTTGAGGGAAGTCTATAGTCTTGTTGCAGAGGTGGGTGTGAGTCTGAGGGGGTTTTCCTAAGCAGAGCCCGGATCCCGAGACCTCCGCAAGAGTCAAGGGGTGAGGAGTTCCTGCGTGGCATCGGGGTTCGGACACTGTAACCTTACTGTAGTTTCCTAGGGTGGCTATTCCTTCATAATAGGGCGGGGCTGCCGCCAAGCATAGCCAACAGGACTTAGCCCGTTCAGGTGCAGTTTGATTAAGGGCTGAGTGGGCTCCCAGGACTAGGTTAAGCAGTCGATCCCCCGCTCGAGCTCGGGAACTCGCTCCCGAGGTGTGGTTGGGGTGCGAGGGGTGAGCCCCCACAGGAGTGACAGGAGTCATAGCCCCTGGTATCTGCGTTCCACTAGGGGGATCGCTCCCTAGGAGTCCCGTCAGGATACGATTGGGGCCTATGGGGCTTGGGGAGATAGTGGCTATTTCTCTCTTGAGCATAAATAACCCGAAGGGGTCGTAAGTGGTTTTTCGGTACAAGAACAGGCCTTGTTTACCTTTTTCTGTAAATTGCAACTGATGGAAGTTGCACCTCCCTCCTTCATTGTTACGACAAGAGCTTTGGGAACCACTCTGGACTTTGGACACCTTGATTAAATCCCACGTTGAAGAAGGGTTCCAGTAGACACTCCCGGTAGTTTCACATCCCCAATGGTAGCAATAGCCGTACTCTGGCCCTCCACACCTATAGTTCTCGGATACATCTCGCCCCGTGCCTGGGCACACATATACTGTTTCTCCATCCCAATCATCCCAAACACAAGGGGCCCCTGGACTTAGTACCTTGCATACATCAAAGGTCAGGGAAGCTGGGAAGCTGGTCATCAGGGGACCTTCCATCTTGGTTTGGTTTAGGGTTAAGCCCGAGGTGAGACTAGAGAGGGTCCAGGTGACTGAATAGAGTTGGTGGGGGTTATCTGCAGATTTTCCAAGGGCAAGCCCAAGGGAGGCTAGAAATATCAGAAAGCCTTGGAGAGCTTGATTTTTAGGGGGTTGGGGGATCGGGTGACTCGCCACGTTCCGGCTGGGGCAGCTTCTTGGTGCGCGGGGTCC